GTGTCGGCTGACCGCCGCGTGGGGCTGGTTGCGACTCGACTGCGTGGCCGGGCTTCGACTTGGTTTATTCAACTCGAACAACGGCGGCATCGTCTGGGTAAATCTCCTATTACTTCTTGGGCTAAATTTCGTAGAAATATGGAGGAGGAGTTTTTGCCATTTAATTATGTTAGTGTTTTGTACCAAAAGTTTCAAACCCTTCGTCAAGGTAACCGTTCAGTTGATGATTACACTGAAGAGTTTTACAGATTACTTACTCGTATTGATAGCCGGGAAACCACCGTTCAATTAATCTCCCGGTACGTGAGTGGGCTTCGTATTGCGATTCAGGATACAGTTAATATGTTCATGCCGGTTACCCTTTCTGACGCTCATCAACGTGCTATCATGGCCGAGCAACAACTGGCACGTCGGGCTTCTTCAGCTTTCTCTCCGGCGTCCCGTTTCAGTACCACGACGAACAGCCTGGGTAAGACTGGGGCCGGCCCCGGGACAGCAGCCGGTCCGGTCCGCAGACGCGTGAGCAACCCGGTCCTGGGGAATTTCTCTGGCATGGCGGCTGCGTAGGTGGGTCCTCGCCCGGGTGGTTGTCTTCGTTGTTTTTCTTGTGGTGAGATGGGCCATCACCAGTCTTCGTGTCCTCGTTCAGCTGGGGGCCGACAGTTATTTGTTGACAGGGATGGTGAACACAACGACCAGCTTGCATATGAGGGACCTCTTGTGTTTTATACTGAGCCGGTGGAGTCTGTTGAGGTTCATAGTGGTGATGTCGGCACGTGCCTTGTGCTTCGGCGTTCTTGTTTATCCCCACATGGCGATTCAGACTCTTCCAGTCAGCGGCACCAGTTGTTTGAGTCTACATTCACGATAGGTGACCGTGTGTGCCGGTTCATCGTTGACTTCGGGTCTTGCGAGAATGTCTTGGCCGAGGAGGCCGTGTCCAAACTTCGGTTGACCACAGAGCCGCATCCGCGTCCGTACACCTTAGCATGGATCAACCGTGGCAGTGGAGTGACCGTCAACCGTCGGGTCTTGGTATCTTTCTCGATTGGGGCGTCTTATCGTGATCAGATTTGGTGTGACGTGGTCCCGATAGATGCATGCCACTTGTTGTTGGGACGCCCCTGGCTCTTTGACAGATCGGTTCTTTATAATGGTTGTCTTAACACCTATACGTTCACCTTTGACGGTGTTAAGATGATTTTACAGTCGGCGCCCCCTCGACCTTTCCCTCAGCAGGCGGCTTCTCCAGTTTTGTTCCTCTCGCGGTCGGCTTTTTTGGTGGAGGTGCGTGAGGCTCCCATTGTCTTTTTACTTTTACCGACCGGGTCCCCTGACAATACCTCACCCCCGGCAGCTATTCAACCATTATTAGATGAGTTCGCTGATGTCTTTCCTTCTGAGTTACCTCCCGGGTTGCCACCTTTACGGGATATTCAGCACCACATTGACTTGGTGCCCGAAGCAGTCCTTCCTAATCGCCCACATTACCGTATGAGCCCTGCTGAGCATGAGGAGTTACGCCGGCAGGTCGATGAGCTATTGCAGAAGGGGGTGGTCCGCCGTAGTCTCAGTCCATGTGTTGTCCCGACCTTATTGATTCCAAAGAAGGATAGTTCGTGGCATATGTGTGTGGATAGCCGTGCCATCAATAAGATTACGGTCCGCTATCGATTCCCTATTCCACAGTTGGACGACCTTTTAGACCAGTTACACGGTGCCACCATTTTTACCAAGCTCGATCTTAGGTGTGGCTATCATCAGATACGTATTCGCCCAGGGAATGAGTGAAAGACTGCTTTCAAGATTCGCGAGGGCCTTTTCGAGTGGTTGGTGATGTCGTTCGGTCTTTCTAATGCACCGAGCACTTTTATGCGCGTCATGAACCAGGCGTTGCGGGATCTTATCGGTAAGTGTGTAGTCGTTTATTTCGACGACATACTTATCTATAGCCATTCTCTGAAAGCGCACTTGGGTCGCGTGAGGGAGGTACTTCTTATTCTTCGTGCTGAGTCCTTTTATGCTGCACCACACAAATATGTCTTCTTGGTGGATTCAGTTCTTTTTCTAGGCTTTGTTGTTTCAGCGGATGGTATTCGAGTGGATGCCGGCAAGGTTGCTGCCATCCGGGACTGGCCGACTCCTGCGACGGTTACCGAGGCCCGCAACTTTCATGGCCTCGCATCCTTTTACCGTCACTTCATATCTCATTTTAGCTCTCTCATGGCCCTGATCACGGATTGTATTGCCGGGAAGTCATTCGAATGGACTCCTCAGGCAGCCGCGGCCTTTGCACTGATCAAGGAGCGTCTTACTTCGGCCTCTGTCTTAGTGTTGCCTGACTTTTCTCGTCCCTTTGAGCTTTCTTGTGATGCTTCGAAGGTGGGCATTGGTGCGGTTTTGAGTCAGGAGTCACGACCGGTCGCATTCTTTAGTGAGAAGTTGTCTGGCCCGCGGCTTCGTTATAGTACGTAAGACGTCGAGTTTTTTGTTGTGTATCGGGCCGTCCACCATTGGCGCCACTACCTTTTTCACCGTGAGTTCGTCCTCTTTTCCGATCATGAGGCTCTACGTCATTTGGCCTCTCAGGACAACATCTCTTCTCGCCATGCCACGTGGACTTCTTTCTTGCAGCAGTTCACTTTTGTCCTCAAACACCGGTCGGGTGCTTCTAATCGAGTGGCGGATGCCCTTAGCCGGCACGTCCTGGTGTTGTCGGATTTACGTGTTGGGGTTGTTGGTTTTGACGTCCTCCGGGACTTGTATGCTTCGGATCCTTTCTTTGGTCCCGTTGTTTCTCGGCTGTCGTCGGGCCCATTTGAGGATTATGTGTTGCATGATGGCTTTCTTTTTCGGGGTCTTCGCTTGTGTGTTCTGGATTACAGCCTTCGGCTGAAGCTGGTGGCGGACTTACATGGTGCCGGTCACCTCGACCGGGACCGTTCGGTGGAGTTGGTCTGTCGTTCCTTCTTTTGGCCTTCCTTGCGGCGGGATGTGTCTCGTTTTGTCGAGCGGTGTCGTATATGCCAAGTGTCCAAGGGAGGGTCGACTAATGCGGGTCTCTATCGGCCTTTACCGATTCCTAATCAGCCTTGGAGTGCCGTCAGCATGGATTTTGTGGTTGGGTTGCCTCGTACTCAGCGGGGGTTTGATTCCATCTTTGTGGTGGTGGACCGCTTCTCGAAGATGGTCCACTTTATTCCTTTCCGGCGCACGATGGACGCACTTCACGTCGCACAGCTGTTCTTTCGTGAGATTTACCGCCTCCATGGTCTTCCTTCGTCTATTGTCCCGGACCGCGATACGCATTTTTTGAGCTTCTTTTGGCGGAGCCTCTGGCGCATGACTAACACTCGCCTTGATTTCAGTAGCGCCTATCACCCTCAGACTGATGGGCAGACTGAGGTTGTCAATTGGTCACTTGGTAATCTGCTTCGCTGCTTGGTCGGGGATAACGTGCGCAGCTGGGACGACCGCCTCCCTCAGGCGGAGTTTTCTCACAATTCAGCGTTGTGTCGGGCTACGGGCTTCTCTCATTTTTAGATAGTTTATTCGGTGCAGCCGCGGGGCCCGACCGATTTGCTGGCTTTACCGGCCCCGGGTGATGCTGACCAGCGGCCACGGACATGATGGAGGATTTGCGGCGCACGCATGAGGCGACTCGGGCCCGCCTTGAGCAGGTCACTGACGAGTACAAGCGGCAGGCTGACCGACGACGGCGCCACGTGGAGTTCGAGGAGGGCGATTTTGTCTGGGCCGTCTTGACCGAGGATCGTTTTCCGGCTCACGAGTATAACAAGCTTTCGGCCTGCAAGAGTGGTCCACTGGAGATCGTGCAGAAAATTAATCCGAACGCATACCGCTTGCGCATCCCATCCCACATTCGTACTTCGGACGTTTTTAACGTCAAACACCTTGTTCCTTATCACGGCGACAACTCAGACGACGAGATCCCCTCGGATTCGAGGGTGAATCCTCCCCAACCGGGAGAGAATGATGGCGACGAGATTGCATTGGCGTACATGGACAAGTTTGATCGCCTTCGTATCTAGTTATTTATTTATTTAGTATTTCTAGACTTTTTATTTATTTCCTTTGTTTGGGATATTTATTGCTTAAAATAAGTTAGGTTTTGGAGGAGTCTATTTAAAGGACAAGGGTTCTCATTGTAAGTTGGGTTTTTACGGTTGAAAATAAAAATCTCTTGAGTTTTATCAGAGAATTCATATTCTTCCCATCGTACGTTTCCTACTGCGTCACGTTTCAATAGTCCCAAATACCGAAACGTATCGAACAAAAAAATTAAAAATCTCCGAACCGAACCAAACCAATTTTTTGGTACGATTTCAGAGATCGAGTTTTTATAATTTCTGAATATCGATACGGTTCTGGAGATTTGTCAATTTCCAAACTGTATCGATCTATGCTCACTCCTAATTCACTTTTTTGATTTGGGGATTTGATCCTCCCTCCTTGACCCAACAACAAAGCGTCCACAATGAATATTTTGTTCATGATATAATTGTATATTTAAGTGTGTATATCTATGGTTTGGCAAGTTTTTATATAAGTAGAAAATTCAATTATAAAGAAAATTATATCAAAAAAATACATTTTCTATTATCTCTTTCCTTCTACTTTTATAATATTGGGAGATGCTACGATCTATTACGGAACTATTCCGTCAGAATTTAGAATCGTTAGATCAACTATCTCGGATGATTACATGATGATCTAACGGTTTCAAACCCAACAGAATGATTCCGTAACGGGACCGTAGTATTTTCTTAAAACATAAATACAATTTATTTCTAGTGTGTTTTGTACAGAAATTGGCACTAATCTTTTTCCTCTCTCTCTCCAAAAAAAAAAAAAAAAAAAAAATATTGGGAGGTTTTCATTCAAGAGCAAAGGTTCCTACCCAAAAGAAAAAAAAAAAAAAAGAACTTTCAAGTTTCAATTGCCAACCCTTTGCTTTACACTTCACAACACCGTCATCAATGGCGACACACTTCACAATTCTCCGCATACTTTTGTTTGCAGTTGCCTTCGGTCGCTCCTTTTCCCTTGAGTAAGAGAGCCCATGAAATCTTCCTCTTGTTTTTTTGCTTTTATTCGAATTAAAACATTATGGCACTTGCAATTGGTTAATTTCCAAATCATTTTAGGTATATAGTTTCCAGGTGTTTTTTTATTGAAATTCGTAATTAAATATTATTATTATTTTTTTTGTATCATTATCTTTATTTTAGCTTATTGATCACCCTATATTTGTAATAATTGAGAAAAAAAAAGACGCATTCTGGGTTTTAGTTTGTGGGCTACAAATACACATTTGTTATGAAGTGATGATGATGATTGGAGTAAAGGGGCTTGTTTTCTTCCTTGCATAGGTGTCAATTGTTGTCATGAATATTCATATTTTCTTAAGCTTTTATTATGAGTGGCAATGGTAAGTTGATATTTACATCTTCATGGATTTAGATATTTGTGGATACAGTTTCGTGGTTAGCTCTTTACGTTTAGACTCATATGGAGCTGTATAATATTGGTATTAATTGGACAAAATATCTGTGCAGTTTAGGTATTACTCGTATGATGGAATTATAACTCTTCAAACGGCATTAGGCATTAAGAATTTCTTAAACTATTGCTTCCAACAAGAAGGAAGAGTAAGGCATCCAAAAGTAATTCTATGTATTACATTCATAATTTCAGTACCCGGAAGGAGTTGAGAACTAACGAGACGAACCAAGATGGGAATATTCGACTTGGCTATCAAATGCGGCGTAAAAATCTTGATCCTTCACGAGTTGTTCGACTCTCGTGGCAACCAAGGTCAGGTAATCCAAAGAACCAATAATTTTCTCACAATTACAATAATACCCTTGAGATTTGATCCCCCCACCTCTCCCACCAACACATAAAGGATGAAAGAAAAGGAAAAGTTAAAAACGAAAGACCAAAGAGTAAAAATGGCTATATTTCAAATATTTCTGTTATACAAATTCACCTTATAGTCATAAAGATGCAAACTTCAAGAGAATGCTCGTAATACTATGGTAAGCTTTTCTTAAAAGAGAGATAGATTAAGCCTTAGGAGTAGTTGTAGTGATTGATCCTATTCTATAGTGAAGGCTGATGTCAGCGAAGCATGCACCTCAGTTATGCAAAGATGTGTAATATTGTCTTCTTGGTTGCATATCCGGATATTGAAAAAACATATTATGAATTTTTATGTACAATGATAATTAAATTACAATAGACATAATGACATTATATTTGGGGGACAGGGTATTCTTGTATAGAGACTTTCTATCTGAGGAGGAGTGTGATCACCTGGTTTCTTGGGTAAATCTTCTGTTTTATAAACTTCTATTGTTCATTTTACGTTTCCTTTTATCATTATTTTTGAAATTATGTTTCGATTTAGGTTGATGGAAAGAGAAACCAATTTGCGTCTCGTGGTGATTCTCAAAATTTTGGTATTTCCATGGACATTGATGTAAGTTTCTCATTTTCTGAGACTGGTCTATGCAAGAATTAGGGCATGGTGGCTATGCGATGTTATGTTGTATGGTAGTGTCTGTACCTTTTGAAAGTCTTCCACATATAAAAACGTGATTTATTTTTGTTCATGGAAAAAGTAGCTGACAACTAGAATTCGTAACAAATGTTACAAGTACAATAAGTTTATGGAAGTGCATGTAGAATAAGTTGTTGTAAAATGTGTGTATCATTGTAGAAATCTGAACATAAGCAGAAAAAAAAATCTAAAGCACCTCTACCACTGCTTTTGGAGTGTAAATCATACCAGATTAAAAGCAGAAGCAAACATTTGAAAATATTAAAAAAAAAAAAAGTAATTTTCTTTTTCTTCCCCTTCAGCTTTCCAACAATCACTCTTTAAGTATTTGTAAGCACATGGTTAGAAATTAGTGCTTTCAAGCGGATGCATGGAACTTCTCTTTGGCTACAAAATTATGTAATATTGAGCTGTGCTCTTGTTATTTTAATCTTAAAGTTAAGTTACAATCTGTTTGGTCCACAGGATGAACTTACTAAAGTAATCGAGGAAAGAATTTCTGCTTGGACTTTTCTCCCCAAAGGTATGTATACATATTCTGCCACACAACACAAATCTACCTTCCATGTTAATAGCTTCAAATATGAATCCATTTTCATCTTTCTTATGATTACTTAATTTGTTATTTGGTAGAGAACAGCAAACCGTTGTCTGTTTTAAATTTCAGCCACGAGGACTCCCAACAGAAATATAGTTATTTTGGCAACAAAGACGGAGAGCATGTCGACCAACCTTTATTAGCAACCGTTGTTTTGTATCTCTCAAATGTCAGTCAGGGTGGGCAGATTCTTTTCCCCGAGTCAGAGGTAAAAGAGCATCCAATATTGTTAAAACGATAGCTGTTAGTATTACGGTATATCACAGTCGCTACCCATGAGGCTAATCTAATTACAAACTGGCCAAATTATCTTTAAAATTGTCCATACCCCCCTAAGGCCTTTATGTACTTTGAAAAATACTGGCAATTATAAATTCGAAAGACTAGCGTTTTTGTGGCAAGATTGAGAGTAATCTTGTACTTTCAAAATCTCGATTTTGGTCCTCTTTCACTAGAAGTAGCTACATGGCAGTTATGCTGTATTTCCATTTCTCGCAACCTAACTTAATCTCGAGGGTGTTTTTGTAATTAACCTTTTCTATGCTGCATACATTCGTGAAACTATTACATCATCACCCGAAAACTGACTGCAGGAAAGAATGTGGTCCGACTGCACACAGAAGAACGATATCCTAAAGCCTAGTAAAGGGAATGCGATTGTGTTTTTCACCCTACACCTTAATGCGGGCCCTGATCGGACAAGTTCCCATGCTAGATGCCCTGTTCTTCAGGGTGATATGTGGTGTGCCACTAAATTCTTTTATATGAAACAAATAAGTGCTGGAAAGGATTTGGCACGATCGGACGATACAGATTGCACGGATGAAGACGACAACTGCCCACAGTGGGCTGCCATTGGTGAGTGCCAGAGGAACTCAGTCTTCATGATCGGTTCGCCTGATTATTACGGGACGTGTAGGAAGAGTTGCGACGCGTGCTAATGGCGATGGCTTAGGTTTGTGTCATGTGTATCATTCTCTTTAACTTTTGGCTTTATCTTGATGAAAAAGAAGTATAAATGTTTTTGGTTGTGAGTTGAAGATATTGATGAATTAATAATGCTATATTTGTGCTGTGATTGAATGCCAAAAATTTCCAATATCGCGTGCTAGAGATTTTGATTTTCTTTCCCGTTCTTTTCTTTTTCACGATTGCTTAATATAATTATAGAAAATGCAGTCTTCACTATTGATATAGGTACAAGTATAACTAGATGTGGACCGCTCACCAAGCTGACGGGTCGTGATCACTCGACCCAAGTACCGAGCCAAATGACCGGAAACCCAAAACTTGACCCGAATGTGTGCAAAGTGGTAAAATCTATCTGAATGTGTTTTAAGTGCTAAAGTCTACCCGAATGTGTGCTAAGTGATAAAGATGACCCGAATGTGTGCTAAGTGATAAAGATGACCCGGATGTGTGCTAAGTGATAAAGTCTACCGGAGTGTGTGATACAAGAGTTGACTCAAACTTGTGGTAAGTACCAAAGTCGACCCAAATTTGTTTTAAGTACAGAAGTTGACCCGAATTGTACTAAGCGACCTAATGGTAAACTCGACCTAAAATTACCTAGAGCATGACCTAAGTACGCTAAATGACCCATGTGCTAAACGACCTAAGGTGATAAAAACTGTCTAAAACGACTTGAATGACTTAAATAAGTGAACCCAAACAACCCGAAGCTCTAATATGCAACCCAAATGAAGAACTAAATGACCTACAAGTGCTAAAATTACCTAAAACGACTTGAAGAACTTAAAGGGAAATTAAACGACATAAACACGGCCTAGAGGGCAATTAAACGACCCAAACACTTGGGGTGTTGATTTGAGACCTAAAACGACCCGATGGCCGAAGGCCTTAGAAGTACCTTGTTCAAAAGACTAGAAAGATATAATCAGTGTGAATGCATCAAAATAATCATAATCATCAAGATAAGAACGAATCTAATGCAACTCCGGGCTGCCAACTCTCCCTTTCGGGCAACCCGTTAGATTAACCCTTTGTAGTTTCGAGCAGCTTTCTCTTGGGCACCAAGACAACATTAGGGTATCATTACTATAAATAAAACTAAAAAGTATGATGAAGGTCTTCTTCTGTTCCATAAGTTTAATATATGAATTATCTTCTAGCCTTGATTTCCTTCCTTCAGATCCCAAACTAATTTGATCGTCAGAGTGCTAATGTCGGGAGAACCTTCAGGCCTCTTTTGCAGGCCACATGTTCCGCCGTGGATAACATTTCAGGGGATCAAATCACTTGACCCAATCGGATTTTTAAGAGGACCAACCGGCTTGCACCGGAGTTATTTGGTGGACCACCATTGTCACAGTTATCAATCTATAATCATTTTTAATGGAATAGAAAAAGGTTATGTGGGATCATTCATCATTTTTTTCACACTTATTACTAATTTGTATCAAATAAAATTTCATTAATGGACGACTCTTTCCTCAAATGTTAAATAGTGCTCCCAATTATTCTGTCAAACAAATGAAGGATTACCAGTTGGTAGTTAGATACACATAGCTGTCCATGTAATATGGAGTACCAAATTTGCTCATTTGTTAGCAGATTATTTAAAAGATTCCCCAGCTTTCAACCTTCAGGCTGACATTCATCTTATTCTTTTGCGACTAGAGAAAGTCAACCACTTCAAAATTCAATTTATAGAGGGAAAAAGTCCCAAGCAGCTAGTTATTAGTTTATTCTATGTCATACATGTTATGCATAGATTCTTGAGCTTAGATCAATCCAGTGAAAAGTTTGACATGTCGTTGATTGATATTTTAAATGCTAATAGCTGAGGAATGTGATGTAAATTAGCACCAACTTACTAAAACTACTATGCTGGTGCAGTAATAGACTTTATTCAGTTTAAAATTAAAACTGAACATCCATTGTTTTTTACCAAACATCAAGTCGAATAGAATAACACTTCAATGTACAGAGGAATAACTAGCAACTTACATGAAAGAAAATGAGGAGCTCAAAAAGCGCTGCCCTACAGGGCCAACTTGGCCAACCCCAACAAAGAACAAAACCAAGCTAAAGCCTAAGAAATAGGAAGAAAGGAAACAGAAACAAACACAGAAGCAATAGAGAAAATGTCAGCAACTACCATAACAATAGTACCAGACACCTCTGTTTTTTAAATGCTTCCTTAGGCTTTCTGATGTAGGGAAGCGTACGAGTGAGACGATATTAATTAGATCACAATCTCAAGAACATCTAAACACAATATCAAATCGTATATTCATTCAATAATTCATAATCAACCAAGGAAAAGAAACTAAAGGGAGTCCTTTATAAGACTCCCAAACCCTATTCTTAACTTGTCCAACAAGATAGGATCTCTTACTAAATATTAAATAATAATATTAAATCCTTAACTTATTCTCTAAGATATCTATTAAATAATAATAATAATAATAATAATAATAATAATAATAATAATAATAATAATAATAATAATAATAATAATAATAATAATAAAAATATTAACAACAATAATAATAATAATCTACACCACTTTCACTCCTAACAAAGATATCGACATTCTGCCATCCTTATTTCTCCAAGCAGCAACCATTCCCTGATTTGACGCATCGAGGATTTCCAAGGATGATTTCTATGTGAATCTGCATGAACTGAGAACATAGCTAACTCGTCTGCATCAGAAAAAGCTACACATTTCAGGCTCCATTTTTTTGGTCCAAGATACTAGCACTGGGAACAACATGTTTCCCCCTACTCTCTATCTCAACCATTGACATTTCCTTTGGACTTGGGCTTCACATGTAACTCTTTGATGCTTTCATACTCCAACCATTCTAATCTTGCCCCTTCTACCAGTTGCTGTTCAGAGATTTTTTCTTTTTTAAATATCTAGTTATTCCTTATCCTCTACATCCACCAAAGAAGATAAGTGGATAAATCAATTATGTTTTTGTTCTCCACATTGTTCTTCATAGCACACTAGTCTTCCCACCAATCTGGGTATTCAATTTGGTCTTGCTTTAGCTTATCCCAATCCAAACCTGCAATCTTCTATACTCTTTGAGCTCTTTTACACTTGAAGAATACGTGTGAAATATCCTCATATATTTCCTTACACCAGCAATACATAGTATCATGAATCAAACCTTTATGATGCATTCTAACCTTTGTACCTATCATATTATGCCACCACCCCCAAAGAAAATTTCTCACCTTTGGCTTTATAGGTAAGATGCCAAGTCTTCTACCAGAGATGTTTTAGTTTTCGTTCCTCTATCTCTGTTGGATCCCTCATTTCCAATCTTCACCTTGTCGTGCTATTGGATCACCTTATAAACTTGTAAAATTATAAGATTATTTGACATACAAAATTGCTTTCCTATCAGATTGCCAGATCAGTTTGTCATTGGTGCCCCTTTGACTTATATGAATTTTCAGGATGTTGGCAACATCAGTGCGGTTAAAAGTTCGCAATATCAACTAAGTGTCCCATTTTTTCCACCTACTAACATTAGGTGAGAGACTTTCCTCAAGTGTATCTTAGCACCTACAAAGTGACAAAACAGGTTTGAAGTTTGTGTTATTAGAATTTAGGGTGAGTCCCACACATTGATACATAACCAATTACCAACCTAAACCTAATTTCTAACTATAGGGACTTTCTAGCTTCAAGTCAACATTTCCACATATAAGAATCACTATCTTTTTTGCTAATTTCCATGAACTTCTGCCTAAAAAAGTATCTATCTCTCACTACCCTGCTCATTAAACAATTGAGCTTTGTTAACAACCTCCAGATTTGCTTAAGAATTAAAGCATCATTGAAATCACCTAAGTCCCTAAAACCTAAACTCTCTTCCAATTTATGCTTGGCTAAACTACCCAGAGAGCCCAAAGAATTTTGTTTCTACCCTTCTTAGTTCTACCCCACCAGAAAGCACCTAACTCCTTAATATCCTGACAAACCCCACAGGTATCCTAAACACTGACATCACACAAACAGGGTTAGCACTCAAGACTGTTTTGATTAATTTTCTTTCTTGCCTCACTAAAGAACTTACTTTCCATCTTGTAACTCTTGAGATTACACACGTTTTAACAAAGGCAAAGGTATCATTTTTGTTTCTCCCAATTCCCAGAGCAAGCCCCAGATACTTAGAGTTTTGGGCAGTTACAATTAGGGGTCTGCAAAATTTGACTGAAATCGACCGAACCGACCGAAACCGACCGAACCGACTAGTTCGGTTCGGTTTCTGTCCGGTTCGGTCGGTAGTCGGTTTTCACTTTGCAAGTGTTCGGTTATTTCGGTCGGTTTCGGTTTTCGGACACAAAATATCCGAAATAACCGAACCGACCGAATAAATTATATATCTATAATATATATATAATATCATATTTTATATTATGAATTTCTAATACAATATTAATATATAATTTATAATATAACATTTTAAAAGTTAAAACAAATATACATCAAGTCTGTCTAACCCTAAAATCCCAGTACACTCTCTCTTTATTCTTTCCCGTCCTTCGCAATTCGCATTTTAGAAACCGGCGCCGTCCCCAAATCCTCCGTCGTCCACCCTAAATCGCTCCAATCCAAACCATCCGGCATCCCTGAGGCCCGAATCGTCCGATCAGCAACAAATATCCCCTCATCTCTGCTCTGTGTCTGCGTATAGTTCAACGTAAGTCTTAGGTTCGATCAAGGAGCTCGTGGTCACCTCATCTCTGCGTATTCAGTCACGACTGTAAGTTTTTTTTTTTTTTTTTTTTTTTTTTTT